GAGAATAAAACACTCACACCTGTGTTTGGATTCTCTGAAAACCGTCTTAACATCTCCAAAAAACTAAACGGGCGCCAAAGTGCCCCAAACTGAATTCCTCCTTAATGTTGGTCCATCTTGTTCTGGTGTCAGAACCTGAACATCAGAACCATCAGCTCTCGTCTGATGACACTTTATCTTCTGCAGCTCTGGTCAGATTTCAGTTCTGCAGAATCTGTAAACGGAGAAGCGGGTGGAACTCCTCTGTGGTCGTATACATGTTGTTTCAAAGAAGTTTGAGGAAGTTTTGAGCCTCTTCAGAGGAAGTGTTCTTCTTCTGTGGTTTCACTTACTGATACATGAGACGTACAGGGAGCTGATTCTGAAGAGCTGCGGGTTTCTCACTTCATCAGAGGAGAGTCTTCTCTTCTCGTCAGTGAGGTTTGATGTAGAGGACGTGAACACGGTGGTGGTCTCGACTGTGGACTTCCCCCCCTCATCTTCTCAGCAGCTTCAACAGGAAGTGACCTCACATAATGAGCATCTACAGGGTTTTATTGTCTCTTGTGACAGAGAAATAGTGAAGTGAATTATTTTTTGTAAAGTGCATCAATTTCTGAACGTCCCAAGTGCAATATGTCAGCGCCTATCGCAGGTTATTTAACTTCAGTTTTATACAACAGAAGGAGACTTGGACGTGTCGGCCATATTTAGATTCAATGTTTAGCAAACTGACATTAAGCATTAGCCAACGTGCTCAATCCTTTAAACGGGAGCTCCTTGGTGTGCAGATCTTATTCGCTGTTTGTGTTTTTGGATCCAGCACCCACTGAGGGGCCTCCAGCCCAAAGCCCTGCTGTAGGAGCTGTTAGCACGACTGTTAGCACGACTGATAGCACGACTGTTAGCACGACTGATAGCACGACTGATAGCACGACTGTTAGCACGACTGATAGCACGACTGATAGCACGACTGATAGCACGACTGTTAGCACGACTGATAGCACGACTGTTAGCACGACTGATAGCACGACTGATAGCACGACTGATAGCACGACTGATAGCACGACTGTTAGCACGACTGATAGCACGACTGTTAGCACGACTGATAGCACGACTGTTAGCACGACTGATAGCACGACTGTTAGCACGACTGATAGCACGACTGATAGCACGACTGATAGCACGACTGTTAGCACGACTGATAGCACGACTGTTAGCACGACTGATAGCACGACTGATAGCACGACTGATAGCACGACTGTTAGCACGACTGTTAGCACGACTGATAGCACGACTGATAGCACGACTGATAGCACGACTGATAGCACGACTGTTAGCACGACTGATAGCACGACTGTTAGCACGACTGATAGCACGACTGATAGCACGACTGATAGCACGACTGTTAGCACGACTGTTAGCACGACTGATAGCACGACTGTTAGCACGACTGATAGCACGACTGTTAGCACGACTGTTAGCACGACTGATAGCACGACTGATAGCACGACTGTTAGCACGACTGATAGCACGACTGTTAGCACGACTGTTAGCACGACTGATAGCACGACTGCAGACTTTTCATCCTGTACTACAGTTTCAAAGCTTCATGGTTTCTATCACTGATCAAACTTTGCTCCTTTGAAGTACGTCTGAACTAAGGAGGAGCTTCTTATCTTTTCTGTAACGATGAAGAAACACTTCAGAGAGATGATGAAACTCAAAGACTGAGAGCAGCTGAGTGTTTAGAGCTGACGTGATTTGTTCCCTCGACACCTGAAGAAAAGAGACACACCCTTCTGAATCATCACAGGTCACAGTGAACTCTGAAACCTGCAGACACACTACACTGATACAGAGGAACACTGCCTCCTGGTGGTCATCTGTGTTCACTGCAGTTCAGAACACAAACTTTTCTAAAGTTAAAATCTTTATTTTTACTCCCAAAATAAAAGAGAAAAATCGAATCAGAAAACGTATGAATACTTTCATATTCATTCAGGTTCAACTTTTTATTCTTTATACATTAATTAACTGCAGAATTCATTCTGAACAGCTGTAGATGTAGTGCTCTGTCTCTGGTCACTTCCTGTCAGCACCTGTGCTCTGTCTCTGGTCACTTCCTGTCAGCACCTGTGCTCTGTCTCTGGTCACTTCCTGTCAGCACCTGTGCTCTGTCTCTGGTCACTTCCTGTCAGCACCTGTGCTCTGTCTCTGGTCACTTCCTGTCAGCACCTGTGCTCTGTCTCTGGTCACTTCCTGTCAGCACCTGTGTGTCTGGTCAGACTTAAAGCTGGTTGTTTTCACTTCTCTCTCTCTCTCCTTGCTCATATTGTTCTTACTCTCTGATAAACATGTTGTATATTGTCGGGTCCTTCAGCCCCTTTGAAGGATCTAAAATCCCCTCTGCATGACCCTTCACACCCTCCAGTGAAGAAATGGTTTCCAGTGACAACATTTCCACAGTTTGTTTGTTTATTGAATGAAATGAAATCCAGACACAAACACTCGGCGTTACACGTTTGCATATATTTCTACTTTAACGTCATTCTGCGAGCGCCTGCAGCGAGCGCCTGCAGCGAGCGCTTTGGCAGCTTCATCTGTAAACTGGAAAATAAAGATCGAAACAAAGCACAAAAAGGAGGGGGGAAGGGGGGGAGCAAACAGAGGGCGGGAAAAATATGTTCAAATCAGTTAATGCTGCATCTTTAAATCACGACTTTCATGCCTGATCCGTTCTGCTACCCATAAGGCCTTTCATCGCACGCCGCCCTCTCTTCTCTTCCTGATATTAAATATTTCTCTTCAAGTGTACATCATCTCGGCCATGTGTGACATCTTCTTGGGCATGTACAGGTAATACTCCATGTAGCCAGAAAGGTCCTCTATCGTGATGTCGTCCACGTAGGCGCGCGCCTGCTCCGAACACGAGCGAGGCGAGCCCGATGAAGTCGACGAAGCCGTGGCGGCGTTGCTGTTGGTGCTGAGAGTTCTGGTGGCGGTGGCGTCGGCGTGGCCCGGCAGGCTCCTCTCGCACTCAGAGATGACGTTGCGGAGCCCGGTGAAGGAGTACACCTCCACGCCGGCCCAGCCCTGATTGGACTGACAGTGGCACTGAGGCTCCGCCCCCTGTCCGCTCTCCTCCCCAGAGGCGGAGCTTTTCTTCAAAGTGCAGGAGCAGGAAACGAGGGGGGCGTCCGCGGCGCCGCTGCTGTGGAGCTCCGATAACGCTCTGAAGTCAGCGGCCTCTTTGGGTCTGGATTTGGCTGCAGACTCCGCCCCTTCACAGGCACTTTCCCCCGGGCCACTCTCCTCGCTCGACTCCACAGAGCTCCCTCCGTCCTGCCTCGATGACGTCACGACAGTAGAAATAACCACGGGGATCTCTGGTGTGTCGAAGCCCGCACACGATCCAAACAGCAGAGGGGAGATGTGACCCGGCGCCCCTGAAGGAGCGAGCTCTTTCTGAGCGGGGACGGGCAAAGAGGACGGCGCTCCCGTGTCGGCTGCAGGTCGAGGCTCCGCCGGCTCAGGGACCGCTAGGCGCTGGTGCTTCAGGCAGCCACTAGGGGGCGACAGCGTGGACGAGGCGGCGCTGCTGCAGTAGGTGAACTTGGGAGGCTGCAGGATCGGGGACTTGGACCTTCGACGTCTCTGAGTTCTGGACGCTCCTCGAGAAGATTTCCTCATCGAACTGTAGACGAGAGAAGACAAAATATTAAAGATGAAATTATAAATTAAAATCAAACATCAACATCATTAAACACTTCAATATAAAGACGATGGACACAACATGACTCAGGGTCTGTCCCCGTCCGCCATGTTTCTCTGTGATGTCATGCTGAGTCAGTCTGGTCAGGTGACCTGCATCAGCCAGCAGAGCTCGTCAATACAAAACACCACACTTCAGTTTGTCCACCTTCAAAATAAAAGCCCTGCACTTCAGTTTCTCCACCTTCAAAATAAAAGCACCACACCACATGTAACGGTGGTTTTAAAAGCTAAATTTAGTAAATGGAGGCAACGCAGACCCCCGGGTTTGTCCCTCAAAGATATGAGCGAGAGCAGAGCGAGCGGGGACCTGGACCTACCCGTGCCAGTTGTCCTTCGGGCAGCTCAGTTTGGGCTTCGCTCCGCTCGAGTCAGGACAAGCTCGGGATGGCGCTCTTGGAGTTAACGCCTCGGACACACTCACAGCTCCAGGTAAACTGAAACAGACAGAAAACAAACTTTCAGGAACTTTGTGACAGGAAGTGAGAAGCCAACAAGCACAACATGAAAACACCTTTCAACATGGCCGCCATGTTCTCTAAACCTGAATGTCCCCTCAGTTAGAGCTGAACGAGTTCTGATCATCATAACTGGGATGTGTAAGGTCACATGACCTGAGAGGCGGCGTTGCTGCTACTTTTGTATTCTTTAATGCACAACGCCAACGTGTCAGGTTCTTCTCCTCCTCAGCTGTTTTCACTCACAGATTTCTGGAGGCCTCTGGAGGACTTGTTACCCCCCGTGTCCACCTGTGGTCTTTTTTTTAATTTGTTTCCAATGAGGAGACAGCGTTCGCAGCAGCAGACAGCCGCCCAGAGAAAGAAAGTTGAAGAGCTGGAGCAACGGCCTGCTAACGCTAACATGACGATCATGTTTGTCATTCTGTGTTCAACTTTCATGTTGTGATGATTTTGGCGCCCCCTGTGGAAAAAACTCTGCTTGTTATCGCTCAGCTGTACACGTCTAAGACCCTGAGTCCACCTTATGAGGCGTTTGTGTGCTGAGAAGAAAAGCGCTGCACGTCTGTCCCGTCTCCATGACAACCGTCACTTCCAAACGGCCGCTGTATGACCGACACCGCTCTGTTGCTTTTGACTTGAAGTTTTTTCCCTTCACTATGAGAACAATCAGAGGATGACTGTCCTCCTACTTTGTCTGGACATGGAGCGAGGACGATGTGAGGTCAGGACACGATACGGGGAATATTATCAATATTCTGCAAACTGTCTCAACTCATTCAAAACTATTTAGAAGAGACGCTGGAGCTCAGAAAGAAGATGTAAGTGTACACGAGGACTCAGTGGTGTTCTGCTGGTTTTTAGGAGGAACAGCAGCGCCGCTCTTCACTGAGGAGGAATAACCTTCTCATGTTGGTTCATAAAGTCGAGGTGATGTCAGGATGAGTCACAACAATGACGGACGGTTTTTACCTCTCAGCGTCGACCCTCAGCTTCTTGAACGCCGTCTGCAGAGTCTCCTCCTCGCAGTCCTTCCTTCCTGCCTCCATGGTGGGAGGAGGCTGCTCTGACCAGCCACCCAGCTGACACAAACAAACAACAACGTTAAATCGTCACTGTAAAAGTTCACAACATGATGAGCTACTGCCTGGTTTAAGTTCTGGTGTAAAGTCCGAACCTGACGTGTAAACCAGTTAGTTCATCACTTCAGTTTTAGAGACGAAGTTCAAACTACGAGTGGAGTTTTGAATCTGACAGTGGAGAGGAAACTTAAACTATTAACACATAAGGCCGACATGTATCAGCTTGTGGTCTGAAACGTTGGTTCTGATGTTTTTTCGTCACATCTTTTATGTCAGACTCCCACAAGCTGACGTCAGCTCTCCTCTGAATCAGAAGCGAGGTGTTCGAGGTGTCGACAGGAAATCAGACAAATCAACATCGACTCGTCCCACAGTGTTAGTGTGTCCATGTTAAACTAATGCATCCCTAATAACACAAGTTTTCATTGGGATAAATTCAGACTGTTTGTTTGTATTGTGAAAGCTGGTGTTGCCATAGTGATGACGTTGTGATTTATTGTTTGTAAATGAGGTTTTTACTATTTTAATAAAATGTAAATCAGAATAAATAAAGTAAGCGTAGAGTGAGCTGCTTGAGATGAATCACACTAAATGTTGTTGATCAACACGTAAACAACAACAACGAGCTGACGTCACGACAATCACAAAAACTCAGTTTGTGTTTTAAACTTTAAACTGGAGAACATTTACATGTTGTGTTTGTCATGAACATAAACACACTGCTCCCTCAGCATCATCACTTTTATTCTCTTTCACAGCGTTTTCACCCTGCAGGCTAATGCTAGTGACTTTAGCAGCTAAGCTAACGGGCTAGCTGGCTACAAGACGTCTTTTTAAACGGTGAAAGAACATTTAATAAACACAGACAGGTGATACTCACGGTTCAGGAGATCCTGGTCGCAGTAAAGAGAGAGATACTCGGTGCATAAAGTGTGAAACAGAGCCGCTGATGTTGACTTGTAGCCAGCAGAGCTAACGACAGCTGAGGCTAACGGTGCTGACAGGCTAGCTGTGAGGCTAGCTGCGTTAGCTCCGTGAAAACACGACCTGTCTGTGTATCAACCGGCTGAACGCGGATCAGCGGACTCCTCTCCTGAACGATCTGCTTAATAAATATCAGACTGAAGCACCAGCTCGACAGATGTTGACTTTTCGTCTCCTCCTTGTTTACAGTCGCAGTGACTCTGCAACAACGCGCAGACCTGATGACGTAACTACCTAAACTCACGGTGACGTCACTGCGCAGTTTAAAAACATGTGTAAACACAAAACTTTACCTTCTAATCCCTGTAAACAGCCTCTCTGGGCTCTCCTCGGGGTTTTAACTTCACAGAAGAGACACTTTGACATGTGAGGCCGTGAGGACTACATTATGACGTCACTGTTATATAACAGCCTTGTTGTGAGGAGAACAAAGCTTGGCACAGAAAATCAGATCCATATGAGAAGCTCTCAGAGGAACCAGCCCAGCAGCCGCAATACATTCATGATTATTCATACAGCTTCTGTTTCCCATAATGCATCAGAAGGTTTTCAGGGTCACATGATCTGTGATGATCTGGAACAAAAAGAAACACACACATCATTACACTTTAATAAAGTCATAATTCAGTTTTAAGATAAGTGTGTGCATCCAGTGCAGGCTAAGGTCTTACTGGGGCTCTGCAGGGCGGCAGTAGTTCAGTCTGTGGGGGGTCGGGTTGGGACTGGGAGGGTCCCCGGCCGGCTAAAGTCCTGGTCCTGAAGTTCTGCAAGTTTGGAAATTGGT